CAGATTGCTGCAGCAGTGATGAAAATATCAAGAGAGGCCTAAAAAAGCAAATATTCTTGGGGAAGTAATGAGAATAGATGGAGTTGGTGCACAGTGTGCAGACTGGGAGCCAGAGTGACAGCTGAGCTCTGCAGAGAATGGCAAAGCAGAGGTGAAATTAGGGGGCTGGTAATTGGGAGGAGGCTTTCCTCACAGCAGGTCCCTTAGATCATGGATGCTTTAACTGCCTGAGAGAGACAGATTAGGCCTGGATTTTTCTTTGGCCTGACCTGTGCTCCTATTTGGTGCTTTGCTGAAGCTGGGAGCTGTATTGGTCAAAACCTCAAGCAAGCCCAAATGCTGCACCATGAGACCCTGGGACCAAAATTATTGTCTGGAGACTGAGCTGGATGCTTGTAGTGTCCTGGGATATTCGGACACGACCATGGGGTATAGAGGGAGTGTCACTTAGTGCAGGACATCTTGCTGTGCAGTCTGTCCCAGCTCAGGGCCCTCTGGCTGATGCTCACTGCCTGCTGGAAAGCCTGCCTGGCTTTCCTGGGGCTCTGCACAGGAGAGCAATGGCTTTCCATGCAGGACTCTGTCCAAAAGGTCTGCTGTGGCAGAGTGCCTCAGTGTGCCAGGAGGGGATGTGGGATCAGGACTCCGGCTGTGCTGGGAGATGGCACCTCTGGGCTCCTGTTGGACCTGCTTGCCTGATTTATGGATTGCCATGAGGAACCCACCACCCTCCAGACCATACCAAGTCCTGCTTGTGTCTCCCAGGAAAGGTGCAGAGGCTCCACAGTGGCTTGTTGCTGACAGCCACAGGTGGATCTACAGCCTCATTTAATGTAAAGATGAGTACAAGTAAGGCACTGTCACTCTCTCCCATTAATCTGTGATGCTTCACTGATACCTTGACCAGTGAGAATAGCAGGCAGGTGGCAAGGTCCTTGGAATTTCCTGAGCTGAGCAAAATAATCTGCTGCAAAGTTTAAAGGCAGAGCTCGTATCTTGATACCTGACATAGAGCCCTTTTTACTTTTGTATAATTCTGAATGCATAAGACATGGATTAACTGCAAACTGTGGCCAGCCTGATTCCTTGAAAATCTGTCCCAGGCCTCCACCTGAGCTCACTGCTTCCTGTGACAGTGGCCAGCAGTTGGTCATTTCTCTTGCTTTGGCATGAGATCCTGCTTTATTACCATGGAACTGATTTAAAATCGCATTGAGGGTTGGCAGAACAGCGGTGTCAGGAGCACAGCCCTTTCTGGAGGGGACCCCAAGAGGCTGCAGAAGGCCCCTCCTCAGCTCTGAGGGCAGCTCCTTCCAGCCAGAAGCAGCATGTGAGGAGGTTGCATGGCACAGCTGGCTGCAGCTCACCCAGGGGGCTGACACAGCACTTGGGGGCTTGTGAGGGATCGCAGCGAGCGGCAGCTCTTCAGGCAGCACAGAAAGCCAGATCCCTGCATCTGCTAGGCTGGTGTAAGAGCTTCCCTAATCACCTCTGTGCAGTCCACATCAAAGAGGAGCAGCATGAGGAATGACCCAGATTCTCTGCTCCTGGATGCCTTTTAATGGTGGTGGATTCACTGCTGGCACATCTCTGCTGACCTCCACAGACTCTCACGGCTAATCGCTTGCAGGGATTGTCTTTAATCTTTTGACACCCTAGTCCAAGCATTCCTGCCTCTCCACATCAGCAAATTAGGTTATTAGCTCTTAATACCTCGAAATCTAGACCTTCTGTGCCAGAGGGTAACAGAGAAACAAGATTAGGGAGATTGCTTCCAAAGCCTGGCATTTCCAGCAGGGTTAGTAGCTGATCAGCGCTTGAGAATGTCAAGCAAAGAGCCAGCCATGAGATGAAGAAAACTCAAAACAATTCAGAGCCAAGAAGATCCCTGAAGAACATGGATGTGATTGCATGCTTCCCCTGTAAGTTTAGCAGCCAGAGCACTCAGGAGTGCACATGCCTCTGGACATCCTTGCCAGGGAGGGAGCAGCAGCCCCGTTCTGGCACATGTTGCTGCTGTGAGCAGAGCAGGCTGAAAACCAGCCACCAACAGGGTGGCCTCTGGTGATGGATGTCTCCTGGGTGGAGATAGAGCTTCCATGCTCCTAAGAGCAGAGAAACCATTTGGATGAGCAGGAGAGAGAAGGGTCAGTTTTACAGAGGATAAGAGGTGAAGTCCTAGGATGAGGCGTGGGGCATATTGCCACTGAGGTCCTGGTTGCCCTGAGCCAGCTTCTGTGCTACAGGAAGCAGAAGCAGTGTCTGATTTTAGGGAGATTTTCCCTCTGGTAGCTGATCTCTACGTATGTGCTAAGTGGAGGAGTGTGTGCTGCCGGGCCACAGCTTTGGTAGTTACAAACCTCAAAAATCAAGCTAGAACTGAGAAAATCTTGATTTTTCTGCTCTCCAGCCCATCAAAAAGGGAAGTAAGCATTCTGAGTAGTGAATTTTATATGTGGGATTTTACAGGGTGAAAGTTTACCTGTGAGAGACCAGGTAGCTATTATGGGTAAGTTTACCCTTAGGAGTGATGCTGTAGCATGCAGGGAAACAGGCTCTGTGTCTTGTGTGGAGCATCAGGGGATGCTCTTGTTCAAGCCTTGGCTTCAGAGCTCTTCTTTTCAGCTCAGCTGAAGTGGGTTCAGTCCCCACTAAGTGGTCAAGGAACAGCTAAGAGGCATTTGTCTGGTGTTTGGATTTCAGGTACTCACTTCAGAAGGAGGAAACATCACTGCACTGACAATCAGTGGCTCTACAGATGCCTCCTTATGCTCAGCTCCCGCAGGACCAGCTCGCTGCTGGGTTACAGTATGACAGTATTGCTGATTGAAAACTCAAATTTGATCATGTTTTTACCCAAACTGATTGCTTTCCTCATTTCTTTTCTGCCTTGCTGATCTGTAGTTTCAGTGGTTTCCAGCATGTTAAGGTTTATGTGGAGTCCTTGGTACATGGTTGCCTTATGTGCATGGCTTCCGTGTGTCACATGGATCAAATGGTTGAGAAACTTCAGCTTGGTGACTTGGGCCCCAAAGATGTCTGAGATTTAGCTGCCCAACAGTTATTGCATCAGGGAGACCCACTCTGATGTCTGTGAAATGTGAGCAGCCTGTACAGGTGCCAGGCATGAGCACGTTCCCCTACAATCCAATCTGGAATCAGCACAAGGCTCCTTGTAATTCCCACAGGATCTTGGTCTATCAGTTTTGTGCTGTAGGTCCCTGCTAGAAAGCTGCATTTAGGATCTTATTGCGCTCATTCAGGTGCCTGAGGAAAATTCCTTGGCAAAATATTATCCTTCAGGATCCTTGTAGAATACCAAAGAACAGGAGGAAGGCTACCTTGACTCCTCGTAGCCAGGCACCTTGCTTTCACAGGTGTGCTGTGCTGCCTGGTGACACCCCTAAGGCCAGGGACACAGGTTATGAGAGAGGGCCTCTTCCTGTGGGGGCTGTCCTTGGCTTCAGAAAAGTGATTTCTGTGTGCAGATCTGAAGTTACAGCTGTGAAATCCCCACCAGCATGCATCCATGGTGAGGCAAGAGCAGAGGACCTTCAGCAGTATCCTAAAGCTGAGTGGAATAGTTTCCTATAATTCTATAAACTTTCTCTCAAAATTTGCTCAATCAGAATGAAAGGGCACGGTGATGTAAAATGTGAGATTTAATTGAGGATCTCTGAATAGAATTATGAATCCAGCTCCATGTTCCTACATTTGGAAATTTTCCCCAGAAAGCATCTCCATTTATCTATGTCTGTGTGCCTTGAAATGTATTATCAACTGATAGAAATCTGATTTGACCCAAGGGCTTTAAAAGTCTGCATTTTTTGCTTCATGTAGGAGTTTCTAACATGTAAATGGTTGCATAAAGAGACTTTACACTGGGCATAAATGACATCAATTTTTTAGAAAACCATGCTACTAAGAGACTGTAGAGATTTTTCAGGTATAACGGTCAGTATCTTTTTACAGCATTTGTTTCATTAGCAGTTTTAGAAAGTTCCAATATTGGAGAAATTTGGGAAACTATTTTTGCTGACACTGAAATAGAACTGAAAATGATGTTACTGTTCATGTGACTGAATTCATGCACAAGTATGACTGGAGGGTACAGTCAGAAAATTAATGTATATGTTCAGATCCAAATCAGTGAAAATGAACCATCTCCCATCTTCCTCCTTCAGCTACGCACCTTTGAAGGATGTGATCCAGAGTGTTTGAAATGCACTCCAGAACTGGGAAATACAGATTTGAGGAGAAGCTTCTACTGAGGGGACTTCATAGAGCTGCAAAAAATAGAATCATATTGAAGATGTTACCTCCGCATGAGTGCTTTTAATCTGTCCTTTTGAATACTATTAATGAAATTAAAGATTAACTCACTATTCAGTGGTATTTTCTTCTGAGTTGCAGGCTCGTGCAGCCTGCAGTGAGAATTCTTCCTCATTTCTGTGGCTTTGGAAGGTCACAAGTGACATGAACTGCACAGTGATCCGTTTTTATCCTCCGTTGCATCCAAATTCCTGGGTTTTGTTCCACTTGTTTTGTAACACTTTGCTGGAGTGTTGACTTGAGTGTTTGTCCCAAAACCTGTGTAGGTGCACACAGAGCTGTAGTGATGCTCATCAGTGTGGTTGTGCTGGTAAAACCTGAGCTTTACCTTCCTGTAAAGCAGCAGCCCTCACAGATTGTGTGGGGACACACAGCCTGACCTGGGGGACAGCTGAGTTGAGCTGAACCTGTGGTTCTTGCAATGTGGCAGCTCCTGTCTCCCTTGCAGCTGTCCCCCCAGCAGCCACAGAAAGTGTTTCCTGTCTTAGGCCTCTTCCTCGAGTTCTCAACACGTGTGGGGACATCTCCCCACACAGGTGGCACTTGGCACACTCTGCTGGTGTGGCAGTCGTGCTGCACAGCCTGGCTGACACCCTGGGCACACTCTGCTGGTGTTGCAGTTGTGCTGCAGAGCCTGGCTGACACCCTGTCTTTGCCTGTTTCCCCAGGTTGTTGCACTGTCGTCGTGGAGTCTCTTGAGAGATTCGATCTACTACACGCTGTCTGTTGTTGCACTCATCGTGGTAAGTTGGTGAAGGTTTTGGGAGCCCATGTCTGCTGTTTGTGAAGGTTTTCCATCTGTGGGAGCCCATGTTTGCTGCCACCTCTAAAGGTGGCATAACAGTCATGTAGCTGACATCCCAGCTCGAGCACTCATGGGGATTCCTGCTTGTGGAAAGCTGCTCGTGGTCTCCCTGGTTCTGCTGGGAAGCTTGGCCTGAGAGCAGGAGGTGGAGGAGTGTCATTGTGACCCTGTGCAGACATGGGGAGCAGAGCTAAACCCACGTTCTGAGCCCCCAGGCAGGCCTGCAGTGGGTGGGTCAGTGCTCTCCTGGCCCCCATGACTTCCTGAAATGCACATCACTAACCTGTAAGGAGGCAGCACTTGTGCCCAGAGGAGAGAGATCCTGAGCAGCTACGAGAAAACCTTCAGGTTAGTTTTCCCACACATAATAGGGAAATGCAGTGCATGCTGACAGCAAGTCCTCAAACAAAATCTACACTTTGAACAGTTCTTAGTGCCTATCCCAATTTTCATCAAGCTCAGAAAGTGCTCCAAATCTCCCAGAATCGGGCTATTCCGTGAAAAAAAATTTGGTACAAGAGTTAAATAAAGACACTGCCATCATTTTAGTATTACCTTTGCAACCAGTACCAAGCAGTGCCAGGAAATGTAAAAATTGAATTTTCAGTTGCACATCTTTTTTCCCCCCACCCTAGCCTAATACCCTAGATTCCCTAAGACAGGAAGAGAGTGATTTTGGGGGGTTAACTTCCATATGTCAGCAAGAAGGGGACTTTAGAGTCAGAAGAGGGTTGCTTGCAGTCTGGGTCACTTTGGTTGGTGTATTTCAGCAGTGGGTTTTGGTTTGTTTCCTGCTGCACAAGCCTATGTTTCCAGATGTACTCTGTAGCTGCAAAGGTCTCCATTTGCCTTGTCCCAAACAGGGGATTTTTCTCAACCTGTTTGTACTTTTATTCCCCATAGTGCAAGGCCAGCCATTTTTTACCTGGTGAAAAATAACTTTTCTACATAATTACTAGCAATGAGGTGCAAAACAAAAAGCTTTTTTTTTTTTGGTTTTGTTTTGACAGTTTGACAGTAACCTCTTAGAAGACACTTCAGTGCTTTGCATGCAGGGATAATTTTTCCATATGAGGGCATTGAAACTTCTCTGCAGCTGGAATAGAGTCATCAATCTTAAAGAATTATATTGTTTGTTGGAGTTTGTTCTCATGGTGTTTTAAACAGCAACCTGTTGTGCTGTGTTAAAAGTTGCACTCCACTGGTATCTTTAGTAATCATAAGTACACCTGAGGGGAAATAAATATATTCCTTCCAATGCTGAGATACGGCAACTTTATCAAAAAGCTTGATACTGTGCTGGGAAAATCAATATGACTTTGTCTCTATTTGCACTAGAAAAGGAAGTATTTCTTACAATGCTCTTGTAAGAAATAGAGCAGTATAGACTCACCTGTTTGCTGCTCCAAGCCATTTAGTGAACTCTGAACCACAGAGGTTCATATATCCACAGAGGTGGATATAAACCACATTTACTGTACTTAATTCATCTTGATTCAGCCCTATGATTTTTTTTAACTTTATAATAGTATTACTTGTCTTCTAGTAGAGTTTGGCAAAACTCGCTCCTTGTTCTCTTGAAAGGAAAAAGATGCATGTGCATCTTAACTTGAAGGGACATGGTCAGAGTCATTAGAGGCAAAATTGAGATGGGTGTTATTTTTAGTCACAGAAGGCGGTGCACACACTTTCACCTCCCATCACATCAAAACATTGTAACCTAAAACAGGCCCTGTCAGATTAGATCACAGTGACTGGGAACTGTAATTTACAATGCTTTGTGGTCATGTTTTCTTCCAGTAACCAGTGTAACTCTTGCCTCCTGCCGGCTGTCACACAGGAGTTGCTATTTACGGCTGTATGGCCAAGGGGAAGTGTTCACTGTGCTTTCAGGGCCTCGTTCCTTTTCCCTCTCACTTCCCTGGGGCACAGCCATGGATCTGTAATCCCTGGTGTGGTCACACATTTCCCTGCTGGTGCTTTGGAAGGGCTGAATGGACCACAGCCTGTCATGGACCCATGAGGGCTGCATGTGATTCCAGCTTCAGCCTCCTATGGAGGCACCGGCAGCCTGGTGTGACGGTGTTCACAGGGGTCCGAGGATGAGGGAAGAGATGAGGATCTGACTCCATGTTTCAGAAAGCTTGATTTATTATTTTATGATATATACTATATTAAAACTATACTAAAAGAATAGTAGAAAGGATTTTATCAGAAGGCTACCTAAGAATAGAAAAAGAAGGAATGAATAACAAAGGCTTGTGTCTCGGACAAACAGTCTGAGCCAGCTGGGCTGTGATTGGCCATTAATTAGAAACAACCGCATGAGACCAATCACAGATGCACCTGTTGCATTCTACAGCAGCAGATAATCATTGTTTACATTTTGTTCCTGAGGCCTCTCAGCTTCTCAGGAGGAAAAATCCTAAGGAAAGGATTTTTCATAAAAGATGCCTGTGACACCGCAGGGCCTTCTGCAGCCATCCCGCTGTGATGGGAGCAGGACTGGAGGCACAGGGAATGGCAGGGCACGGCAAGGGGAAGGGCCTGGTCACAGAGCCTGGCAGCCACTGCCCCTGTGAGCCTTCAGGTATTGCCAGTGTGGGCCCTTCAGCCGCTGCCAGTGTGGGCCCTTCCCTCACCCCTTGCCATGGTGCTGCTGCTTCCTTCACAACTCTCACCATGGCATTGGTTCTCCCTTGACACCTCTCACCTAGGTGCTGTTCCTTCCCTCATGCCTCTTTACCATGGCACATGTCCTTCCCTCACACCCCTCAGCATGGCACTGGTCCTTTCCTCACGCTCCTTCACCATGGCTCTGGTCCTTCCCTCACACCCCTCAGCGTGGCACCTGTCCTTTCCTCACGCCCCTTCCCTCACCCCCCTCAGCATGGCACTGGTTCTTCCTTCATGCACCTTCCCTCACACCCCTCAGGATGGCGCTGGTCCTTCCCTCACACCCTTCAGCATGGCACCGGTCCTTTCCTCACACTCCTCAGCATGGCACTGGTCCTTTCCTCACACCCTTCAGCATGGCACTTGTCCTCCCCTCACACCCCTTCCGTCACACCCCTCACCATGGCATTTGTCCTTCCCTTACACTCCTTCCCTTACACCCCTTCCCTCATGACCCTTCGCCATGGCTCTGGTCCTTCTCTCATGCCCCTTCCCTCACAACCCTCAGGATGGCGCTGGTCCTTCCCTCACACCCCTTTCTTCATGACCCTTTGCCATTGCTCTGGTCCTTCTTTCACACCCCTCAGCATGGTGCTTGTCCTTCCCTCACCCTTCCCTCACACCCCTCGGCATGGCGCTGGTCTTTCCCTCAGGGAGGAGGTGCACCCCCAGCACTGTTGGGGAAGCTGCAATGCCTGTCCATCGGCAGGTTGCCAAAGGGGCTGTCAGTAGCTGCAGTCAGCTGGGGTGATGGTCACCCTGAGCTGATGGGAACAACACCCTGGGCCTAGCAGGGCATGGCAGCAGCTGCAGAGCTTGCTGTGGATCTGCTGGTGGGTCACTTGGCATCCAGCTGGGAGCTGGCAGGGAAGAGGCCATGTCCAGTGAGAGAGCCGGGTGGGTAGGTGGGTCAGAGGGGTGCAGCCCTGTCTCTGGCTCACCACTGCTTTCCCTCTAACTGCTGCACAAGGACCCAGTGCCATTTGGGAAAGGGGTACCTGCCAGCCTTGACTAGCTGAGACAAACCATGGGTTAAGAAGTTCAAAGGCTTGGCAGGAGGGCAGTGCCAAAATACACCCGAGCTTGATGCCATTGCCATTACTCTTGCTTTACTCTGTTCCCTGCCTCAGGTGATGAGCTGTTTTCAACTGTTGTTTTGTGTATAACATGCTATTTTTAAATCTTTTCTCCACAGTTTATTTATGATGAAAGAGTTTCCTGGTAAGTGAATCCCTTTTCATTTTTTCTGGTTATACCACAAAAGCTGTCATAATTAGTGTTTATGAGGAGGAGAAAGCTAAAAAGTTCTGCAGGGCAGCTATTTGCTGCTGTATGAGAAACATCAGCACAAGATAGGCCAGAGTAACTAATTTTTTGAGCTAGAGAAGAAAGCCCAGGAGAATCAGACTGTTCCTGGTACAGTGGCTGCAGTCAGTGCCCTCTGCATGCCCTGCAACAGTCTGGGGATGACAGTGTGCTCAGCAGAGCTGTGAGTGTGCATGAAGGAGCCACCCAAGCAGTCATAAATAAGTGTATAGTTGGATTTTTCATAATTTAGTGAATGGCCAGTTAAAAGAAGTAATTTTAAAAAATCCCTATTAATGTGTTAAAGAGCAGTGCAGTAGGTATGATAGTCTAGGAGGGCAGCAGATACTTTTCAGTTGCTTTGGTCTCATGGTTTTGTTTCTGGCACATCCCAGAGGTGATGTGGTGACATCTGGAGGGGACAGTGGAGGTGACAGCTTTGACTTTGGTGTCACTCCCAGCTGGTGTCATTTGGATTACAAGCACTAGGGAGCGTCAGGCTGCTTGGGTTGGTGTTTTCCCTCACTGGCTCTTGCCCATTTCAGAGGCAGGTTTCAAACACCCATTCTTGGCAATGGCCTGGTTTTCTTTGTTGATTTTTTGTGTGTTTCTTTTTAACTGGCCAGTTGTATTTAACTGTGGTCTAAAAAAAACCCCAAAACACATAACACAGAAGCTGAGTGTTGAATCTTAAGAAGCAGGGAATGAGACATGGATATAGTTAGTGCAATATCTCAAAATCCTTGTGGAGAAAATGTTCCATGAGTTTAGCATACAGTAGTTCGATAATGATGATCTCCACAAGGATTAGCAGTTTGCCATGGGGAACTAAGCAGAATGCAGCATTTTGGACAGTGAAAAAGATCACCTAGAAACAAGCTCTAAAAGCCATATTGTAATTTGTTTTCATACAAATTTCATTATTCCATTAGTTTGACATGGAAACAGCAGAGGGAACAAGCTTGTCTGTATGTAATCAGCAGTTTGAACTGCTGCCTGCTGCGTTCTCAGCACTCATGCAGCAGCAGTAGCAGCAGAGCAGCTGCCCCTTGCTCAGGTTGTCTCAGCATAATTGGTTTTAAAAAGCCCAGCATCCTGCTCAGGTTGTCTAACACAATTGGCTTTGCAAAGCCCGGCATCCTGCTCAGGTTGTCCCAGCACAATTGGCTTTACAAAGCCCAGCATCCTGCTCAGGTTGTCTCAGCACAATTGGCTTTCCAAAGCCCAGCATCCTGCTCTACACTCCTGCAGGCAGAGCAGGGTGGCTGCTCCCCTCCCTTGGCCACATCCCATGGTCATTGTCCTTATGGAAGTGTTGGTGGTCCTTGGGTGTGCGATTTGCTCACTGAACTCCTGGGTTTTGTCACTTGTTCTTAGCTGACAGGTCAGTTTGGCCAAGTAAAGTCACAGAAGTCAAGAAAACAAAGAAAGGTGTGTGAGCTGTTTCTTTGTGCATCCCTTTTTTATAGAGGAATGTTAAGACAGCCTAGGAGGCTTGAGCCTTTCTACACACTTGTGGCATGTCAGAAACATGGGGGAATGGCTGAACAGGGGCTGCTGATGCCATGCCCTGCTCTGATGTGTTTGTGTTGCTCTCGTTTCCAGGTGGGAGTCCTTAGTCTTAGTGCTGATGTATGTCATCTACATCTTTATAATGAAGTAAGTCAAATGTACCCTCAGCTTATCTAAATTTGAAGGTTCCTTGCTCTCCTTGCCTCACCTAGCCCTTACAACAAGAAGAAGAAACAGCCTCCAGTTCTATTAGGGAAACTTTCTGGCTATTAGGGAAAAATTTCTGCACCAAAAGGGTTGTCAGGTGCAGGAACAGGCTGCCCAGGCCAGTGGTGGAATCACTATCCCTAAAGGGGTTTAAAAGATGTGCAAATATGGTGCTTAGGGACATGGCTTAGTGGTGGGCTTGGCAGTGCTGAATTAACATTGGACTGGATGATTGTGGTGGTTTTTTCCAACCTAAACTATCCTGTGAATCTGTGCTTTATGGATCTCATCCTGTGTGAACTGACCAAGGCTAACAGCAAACCCGTGGCAGAGCAGAGACCTGGATCCATCCTCAAGTCCCACCAAAACAGTCTCTTCTCACTTCCCTTTACCATCCCTACTTAGAAATAAGCAGGAGTGAGATTCCAGCAAGTGATTTTCTGAGCAAATTCACACATCTGGCCTGTGTGACTTCTTCCACACAAGTTCTTGCTAGTAGAACTGGTCTGTTCTGCTGTTTTGTTCACATCCTCCTGTCTTGTTTTCAAAAGACAGTGGAAAGGAAACCCAGATTCAAACTGGAACATTCAACAAAACCTTCCAGCTGCCAAACACACCAGTGGTCTTGTCTCCACAAGTAAGACTGGAGATTTGTTTTGAAATGATGAATAGAGTAATATTGTGAGAGTAATTCTCAGTGAGAACAGCAAAACACTCAGGCTGGCTGAAGGAACACAAGTCAGAATTCATCTATTAATTAGAAATTTTAACATGGAGGGTAGCTTTTTACTCTTGGAACAATTAACTGACCAGCAATACAGTTCTAATGTGTGCATTTTTTTTTTTTCTAAAAACAACGTTGTAATGTCAACAGGCTTTTCAGACCTGTTTGGATATAGCTTCAAAGGTTGTCAGCCTAGTTAGGGACCTCTGCCAGGTGTTTATAGGGGTCTGCCCTTGCCTCTGAGTCATGAGGAGAGCCTTGACTCTTATTTGTGTCAGCTGCCAGATGCCCCAAGAAGCAAGGATTATTCTCCACCCATGCCAAAGTTGAGATGAATTTAGCATAAGGTGTTGTGTTTCTGGGTTGAGTCCTCCCAGTAAAATAATGCTGATACTCAGGTGTGATAAAAAAATATACTTGGATGATGACAAGCAAAGATTCACACCTAACACATAAACATGCATGTCATTCAAGATCCATGGCTTCTATCTTTCATAGCCTTCTGGGTATAGAGAGATTGTTTGATGTGCAATTTAGCTGGAGCTCTGGGATCCTCCTTAAATCCAGAGGAGTTTACTTCCCTCCCTTAGCTGTATTGCACAGGATACAAGGCTAGAAAAAGAAGACTTTCCCAGAATTCCTTTTCAAGAATTAAAGCTACATCCTGAGTTTGTTTCCTTTGTGCAGGTACAACTCCACCATACATCACTTCTTTGAGAGGAAGACAAAAAACTCAGCAAATATGGTGAATGGTTTAGCAAGTAACACAGAGATGGATGACAACAGCAACTGTGATGCCACAGTGGTGTTACTAAAGAAAGGTAACTGTTCCAGTAAGTCACCCTGTCACTTGCATCATTCTGGGTGTTCTCTCCCGCTCACACAGTGGGAACTGCTGCTCTTTTGTAAGCCATGAAACAGGAGGGGGCAGGTGGTCCTTTTGGAACCCCTCTCCCAGATGGGGACACAGTGTGGGGATCCCAGCCACCCACAGCCTGTGCCACTGGAGATGGCTGAGGCCTCTTGTGGCTGATTCTTGCTGCTGGACAGATTGCTTGTCTGCAAGGACTCCTTCAAGCCCAGGGGCTGCTTATCTAGCCTATTTTGATTCCTTCTGTGGGTGCTGTTACTCTGCACTGAAGTAACATGTCCAGTTAAATTTAACTCCACTCCAAAGGGACATCAACTGAGCAAGGAAAAAGGCCCTACTTACACCAGTGTACACTTATTCCCAGTGAAAGAAGGGTGGGGACTCTCTGTGGGTCTGGGTACTGTGCTCTTACTGCACATGCTGGCTTTACCATGCACAACTTTTCCATGCAAGTGGTCTTTAAGGGTGTTTCACTTTGGCTGAAATCTGTTCCAGTTTGACTTTAGTCATGATCATGTATAAAAATGGTTGTATTTCTTCAGCTTAAAAAAAATTCCCCCATCCCATAGCTCAGCAGTTGTTCAGTGTCTGCATTTGCAAGGATGTCCTAAACCATATTCACAGTGACTTTATTTTGTCTTTAAAACAGTCAACAAGCATGTGCAGTATCTGCTTGGGATGTATGTGTACCTGCTCTCAGGAATAACACCTCCCCTTTTCCTGAGGCACTGACTTAGCCTGAGAAGAAGCTCCATCCTGTCCAAATCAGTCCTGGTCTCTGACCACAGATGGGCTGCCTCTTGTGTTTAGCTAGTCTATCAAAAAACCCCAACCAACCAACCACCCAAAAATTAGGTCTCTTTTCCTGCAGATGGGGCTTGAGTGGCATAGTCTGTGTACAGCAAGCAGTTAAGCATGAAATGTAGTGGGGTTTATTTGCAGCAGCAGCAGAGTCTGCCAGCTCTCAGTTTCAGGCCTGTTGCAGAGGGAAGGCTGTCAGCAGTGCTGTGCACTCTGATTTGGGGAAGCTGCTTTTTTGGGGACAGCTCTCTCTCCCCTGGAGCTCTCCACAGCAGACCTATGCTGGCAATTCTGTACCAGGAAAGCTGGATTGGGAAACCTCAGTGAGCACAAACTCGGGCCTTGCTCATCCAACTTCACCCAGTGGGATTTGGTTTAAATGTTCCCACAGTGGGTTTTTTTGCATACTCTGCTGATAACTTTTTTATTTGGACACTTGTGGTTACTCACACTGGCCCAGGAAGGAAGACAGGAGGGTTGCTTCATCTTCTTGCAGATTGTTCCTGTATTTCCTGGGGGCTGGGCCACAGGAGGCCTCGAGAGGCAAGTGGTGCTGCTTTGTGTCCCAGCCAGGGGTACAGGGCCACCAACAGCACCTGTTGAAATGGGGTGCCTGGGGGTTTCAGACTTCTGGGGCCTTTTCTGAAACCTTTTCGGAACAGAGGACCAAAAAGTCTGAAACAAAAAGATTTCTGTGTTTGGCAGTTTTTCCGGGTGCCATTCAACAAGTGCCAGTGTGGAAAAAACCCACAAGGAAAAGCCTTGTGGTTGGTTTTTTGTTGTTGGTTTGCATTTTTATTTTTTTGATATGGAGGAGCTCACATATTTACTCCACGGAAGTCTCAGTAGGCAAAAAAAAGTAACATAAAGGCTGAGGAGATAGTCTTGTGTCAGACTAACAATGATGGTTAAAAATGGTAATGCCACAAAACATCTGCCAGGTGTTTAACACTGGCTTTAATAAACCTGTGCAGAAGTGTGTTGGAGAAGGCCTCAGGTTTCCCTGCTGCCAAGTCCCAGTCCTGGCACAGAACTCAAAGCCCAAGGTGTCATCCAGGTGAAGGAAGGATGATCCCCAGAGGCAGCAGTGGGCATTGGCACTGTGCTCCAGGTGGAGCACAATCCAGGGACTGGCTCCCTGTCCCTTTGCTCCCACACTGTGGATTGCTCTGGCTAATGCAGTTGCTGCTGGATTTGGTGGCAGTTCTTAGCCATGAGCTGCAAGCCCAGGGTGCAGGAGTGTTCTTTTCATTTGTATTGGTGCCTTGTAGGAACACAGCTGTGGATGATGAGGACAATATCCTCTCAAAAGTGCAGGTTGCTCTAAGTAGCTGCCTGGGTGGGATAGCTGCTGTTGAAGCAGCTGTGCCTGACACAGCCTGCGATGAAATGTGCAAAGCAGATTTAGTTCTGCATGAGTGGTCTTACTATGTTGACAATTTATTAAAAACCAGGAATATAAGGTGTGTAGAAGGCAGAAATTAAGGATGGATGAGGCCTGTTTTGAATGGTGTAGCTGAAGGAATGGTTCTTACAGAGAACTTCTTGAACCCATGGGTTCATTCCTCTTAGAGCCACATAGAACAGGAGGAGAGACTGCTGAAAGAAGGCCTCAATTTGTTTTTGTTCCTTGGCTGCAGGAAATTTCCACCGAAAAGCCTCAGTGATCATGGTTGATGAGCTGCTCTCTGCCTACCCACACCAGCTTTCGTTTTCCGAGGCTGGGCTCCGGATCATGATAACCAGCCATTTCCCTCCCAAAACACGGCTCTCCATGGCCAGCCGCATGCTAATCAATGAGGTGTGTCTCTTATCTCCCCCCCTACCTGCCCTGCTCCTCCTGAATTTGCGTTTTCCTCTAGCAGCGTCTATCTTGAAATGCAACTCTGGTGTTTCTCCTGGATCCCTGATAGCGCTCTCCCAGATTTTATTGTTCTGGCACTGACTTCACTGAATGTCCCTTGCTTTCTGTGCTCTTGGAGGTTTTAGCAGAGGTTGTTATGTAGCTGTTACATGTAGCTGTTGCTCACAGGAGGTGCCCTCTGCACAGATCTGTTTGATAATATGGTACTACCCCCACACTGCACTTAGTGTTGTCACTTAATGGTCTTGGTGTACTCCTGGAGTCAATTCCGCTGGAACTGACCTTGTAAAAGTTGGCCACTGGACCTTCTCTTGTAAAAGTTGTATATGTAAGATTTTTCTAGTGGTCTGCAAGCAAGCATCATGTTGTACCCACTGAAAATCATTCCTTTTACTTTCAAAGATAAATTTGTAAAGACTTCTACACACCTCTTTCTCTGTTCCCCCCTTTTGCTTAAAAAACCCGCAAATTTAAAAAAGTCGTATTTTTCATCAAGTCTGCCTTTATTTACAGAGACAGAGGCTGATCAACAGCAGGACTTACACCAACGGGGAGTCCGAGGTAGCCATCAAAATCCCCATCAAGCACGTGGTGGAGAACGGAACGGGCCCCAGCAACTCTGCCGAGCGCGGCGTGAATGGCACGCGGCGCGACGAGGACGCGGCCGAGGCCCGGAACGAGAACGAGAACGAGGACAACGAGAACAACGAGAACGACGAGGAGGAGGAGGACGATGATGATGATGACGACGACGACCATGAAGGGCCCTACACGCCTTTTGACCTCCCCAGTAAGAAGCTGTCCTGCGTTTGTGCGGTGTTTGTTTGGATATGCTGGAAAGCGTTGCGGGTGGATGTAGAGGTGGAAGTGTCTCTGAGGGTTTACATCAGCTTTTACTTGTCAGTGAGGCTTCTGGCCACATGTAAAAGAGATGGGGACTGGGAAGCAGCAGGAACCTCTCAGGGTTCCTTTGAGTCACAGTTGTCATAGGCGGAAAGAATTCTTGTGTTGCAGATGAGCTGGAATACCATAGGGAATGGTCCTGCCCTTTACAGGCAAGATACAATTTCGGGAGCTCCTGTTCAGGTCTCACTCAAACAGCATTTCTGGAGTTTGAATGAGGAAAAGACCTGAGCCTTAAAGAGAGTAGTTTAGATGTCCTGTGGACTTCCATAGTATGTGAAAGGCTGGACCTCTGGAGATCTCTGGTTCCACCCCCTGCTCAGAGCAGGTCCTCCTCCAAGTCTGTGTCCAGTTGAGTTTTATTATCTACAAGGATGGACATCCCACAGACTTTTGGGCACCTGTTCCAATGTTTGACCACCCCAGTAAGAAAAAAAGAGAAAATGCACAACTTGGTGTACTATCTGTTCTGAATTTCCCTTTTTGGAAGTTGAGTCCGTTGGCTTTTGTAATTCCCTTGTGCAAGGAATTTTGTAATTCCCTTGTGAAGGGCCTGCTTCCATCTTTTCTGTACCCTCCCTCAATTAGGTGATTGAAGGTGAATCAGATCTCTTTCTTGGACTTGCATTTTATGTGGTTTTGTAAGAACTTGACTAGGGAGCACATGTGGTCTGACCTGTTACTTAAACTCTCAGGGAGGCCCTTCATACTCCTGTGCCTGTCTCTGCCCTCCTGTCTGCCATCACATTATTATCTTCTAAACAAGGAATGACATTTTAGCATAACAGACTGAGGTGTCCCTGGCATCTTGTTTGCACATGATGACAAAATAATTACATTCTGAAATGTGATTGTTTCCCTCTGTTTTGTTGTTTGGCAGCTGGCAAGATAGAAATGTTGAAGTGGGTCTTCACATGGCCCTTGAGTTTTGTCCTGTACTTCACAGTGCCCAACTGCAACAAACCCCACTTGGAAAAATGGTTCATGGTCACCTTTGCTTCTTCTACCCTGTGGATTGCAGCTTTTTCTTACATGATGGTGTGGATGGTACGTACAAATTAACCCAGAAATCACTGGGAGAAGCAGCAGCAGGAGGGGGTTTGGCATCTAGAGAAATGCATAGGAAGTTCTACACACCTGAATTTTCAGGTGAGAGACCCTAGGTTTGCTTCTATTTCTTTTGGACCTGTCCACACTCAGAGAAGAAAATTAGGGGCCAGTAGCCATGGCCTTTGAGCTTGATTTAGGGCTGGCATTTCATCCAGATTCTTTACTTTGGGCAGGAATTACAGCTGCAGCAGTGGAACATCTCCTAGTCCTGCAGGGTAGTGTGAGGGGTGCTGAGGGATAATCTGGCCACAACAACTTTTCATTCTCTTGGAGCAAGCAAGCTCAAGAGACTTGGAGTTGTGAATGATAACACTTTGAACTTAGCATGAACAATAGCATGACATTCAGTCAAATTCCTGCAGAACTAGAGCCATAGGGTGGTTTTGTGTCAGCTTAGCTGGTATTTGCATATAACAATGTTTACAAACCTCATCCAAGCTAGTATTTGTATATAATAATGTTTACAAACTTCATCCAAGATCAGGAGGCAGTTACCCAGGGTAGTGAGCCACCATAGAGTCTCTTTTCCAGATTAGTATCAGGAAAACTGTGGAGGAAATGTATGGAACCACTAACCTGTGAGGGTACACGGCAGGTGAGTGCTATCCCCTGCCAGTTGATGAATACACCAAAAAAGCCTGTCACTGCCTCTATTTAAAGGAAGTGTGAGTTTGCACTGAGAGATACCCTCTGTCTCAGCATCTTGCAGAGTTAGGCCAAGTTGGTGTCAGGTCTTAATTGTTGTAAACAGCTTGACAGTTTATTCCATGTTCTCTTTAGGTGACAATCATTGGGTACACCCTGGGAATTCCAGATGTAATCATGGGCATCACTTTCCTGGCAGCAGGAACCAGCGTGCCAGACTGCATGGCCAGCCTGATCGTGGCCAGGCAAGGTGGGTCACTGCAGGGATGGCTTCCTGCTGTGGGGCTGTGTCCTGACATTCTGCTCCTCCTCAGGCAGCACAGATGTTCCCTCAGCAGAGCTCTTTCCACCAGCCTGGAATTTAAAACAAGAACAAAGAAGGAAATAAATTGTGCTGCTATTGCAAAGCAGTTAACAGGTTATCAACAGAAGTTCTGGCACTATTGTCAGCTTCAAGCCTTCCTCAATAATCACAGTAATTTTCTTAATTTGAATATCAGTGGTATAGAACTGTTTAATGGCATAAGAATCTTTCAGGTCACCTTCCAGCTTTTCTTCACAGTCACAAGGACTGGAAGGTACTGCTTTTTTTAAGGAAAGCAGCTTCTCAATATTTGTGGCCCTTGAAACAGGTGTGTGTAAAGAGGAAAAGCAAGAAGCCAGTACTGCTTTGGGGAGCAAAACCAGTGGCTTGTCACTGAAATAAGCAGCTGGTGAGGAGGTGACTCAAAGACCTTTTGCAATTAATCCAGTGCAGAAACTCATGTGTCATGGTCACAGTAAAGGGTCAAAAGTCCCCTGAGCATGGCACCAGAGGACTGGCAGGTCACAGCCAGCACAGCAGGTCCCCTCAGCAGCAGAGGATTAGTAGAGGGAAATTCTCAGATGATCCTGGAAGGTGGATTAAGCTCCTTTAAGACTGCTGGCCTTGTATGATGGGGGGCAAAGGGAAGGGAGGGAGTGAGGGGCATCCTCCACAAATCTTGGCCTTAATCAGGGGAAACTGCCTGGATGACTTCAGATTAAAGCTGCAGGACTTTTCTGAGACATGTCTGAGTGTTTGTGGTTTCCATTCCTGCAGGTATGGGGGATATGGCCGTGTCCAACTCCATTGGAAGCAATGTTTTTGATATTTTAATTGGCCTAGGCCTTCCATGGGCTTTGCAGACCCTAGCAGTGAATTATGGATCATACGTAAGTCCTGCATTTGTTCACATCATTGTTACTTATTCGTTACTTATTTATTTCTTTTTAATAAGCCAGATCTATCTAGGGAAAAAAAAAAGTCCAAAATTCTATGGATTTTATTTGAAAAAATAAGTAATTTTCTCTGTTACAGTATGGGAGAAGTAGAAGTTAATTGTCACTGGACATTTCCCATCCTTTTGAGGACAGGTACTTCCATTTCTTCCTTGAAGACAGAAGTCTGTGCTGAAGTAAGCTAGCTTTACTAGAGTGCACTGGATTTTCATACTCTTGGATGTATTCCAAGTAAGAATGACCCTGTTTTTAATAAGGCAGAGGGGATAAACACAAAGGTGAAATATAAAATGTAGATGAGATCTGTAGGGTTTTTGCTAAGAAAAATTCTGGCATTACTGAACTGTTAACACACTGCAAAGTGAAGGAAACTTAAATAATTGAGTGTTTCAGAGCGTGACCATCAGCAGGAAACTCTGCAGAGCTTTCCTGTTTAAGACAAAATTACCAAACACCAATGAACTTATCCTTTATTTCCCAAGTGATAAAAGAGCCAGCCTCTGCCCCAGAGCTGCTGCAAGGTTCCTTCTGAGAAGTAAAAGCAGGAGATGCCACCGAGTTCTAGAGGGAGGTCTCTGTGGCTGTTGCTGTTACCCGGACCCCACTCAGACAGCAGGGTAGGGCAGAGAGAAGAGTGTTGATTACAGTCACTGAGTGAATGCAAAGTTAAAATGCAGGAGAATGACAGAAGTGCTGAGCTTGACAAGTCCCTCTGGAGATTGTCCAGTCCCCAGCCCTCTGCTCAAAGCTGGGCCAGCTAGAGCAGAGTGCTTAGGACTTTGTCCTGTTGGATCTTGAATACCTCCAAGGAGTCTGCACTGCCACTCTCAGCACTTTGCTTTGGTTTTAACCACTCTCAACAGTCAAAAGCATTCTTACATTATAATGGGATTTATTACATACATATAATGTATTTAAAGTTGTGTGGTTCCTCTTGTCCTTTCAATGGATATCACACAGAAGAATCTGGCTGCACCTTCTCTGTGTTCTCCCATCAGGTATTTATGCACATGGCTCAGATCCCCCTGAAGCTTCTCTTCTCTAGGCTGAACAGTCACAGCTCTTTGAGCCTCTCTGTATGTCAGATGCTGCCATCCCTTAAATCTTCCCTGTGGTCCTTCACTGGACTTGCTCCAAGAAGTCCATATCTTCCTTGTATTGAGGAGCCCAGAACTGGACCAATGTGAGGAGAGAAGGATCATCTTCCTCTCCCTACTGGCAGCACTTCTCCTGATGTAGCCCAGGATGCTCTTGATGCTCCATGGGACTTCAGCTTGGTGTCCACCACGATCAACAGGTCTTTCTTGGCCAGGCTGCTTTCCAGCTGATCTGTGGAGTTATTCCTTCCCAAGTGCAGGGCTTTTCATTTCCCTTTGTGGATATTAATGGGTTTGCTGCCTGCACATTTTTCCAGCCTGTCCAGCTCCCTCTGTATGGCAGCACTGTCCTCCAGAGCACGAGCCACCTTCCTTGGTTTTGTATGGGCTGTGAACTTGCTGAGCCTGCTCTCTCCCCACCATCCAGTTCATTAAATAAGGCACCAAAATCTCTCTCCCCATCACCCAGTTCATTAAAAAAGGCACCAAAACCTCTCTCCCCATCATCCAGTTCATTAAAAAAGGCACCAAGCAGTCCTGACCCCTGGGGTGAGGCCCTAGTGACTGACCCCAGCTGGGCTTGGAGCACAGTGCTTTGGTTGCTTATCAGGCCACTCCACTGGCCACTTTTCCAGGCTGTTCTTCCTCTGTTTGTCTCTGAGGATGTTTGGGAGAATGCCAGAAGCCCTGCTAAAGTCAACATAAGCAATGTCCGTTGCTCTCCCCTCACCCAGCAAGTCCCCCCTCATCCTACAAGGCTGTCAGGCAGGGTCAGAGGGATTTCCCCTCCATAAATTAACATGTCTGTCCTTTGTGTCTTTAGAAGTGGTTCCCATGATCATGTGCTCTGTCATCTTCCCAGGGATCAAGGTCAGGCTGACCAGCCTTTAGTTCTTCACATCTTCCCTCTTCTTGGATATAGGAGTGCCACAAGGAAGCAGTGCTGCAGGAATAAAGTCCCTTTCTTTAATGAGCAATTTATCTGTAGCTCATCTGTATTTATGTGAAAAAGGATGAAAAGAAGTGGCTGAACAGAAGCAGCCAGCTTTCAGGGAGGCATAACAGTGTCACTACTGTTTTGCATACCCAAAATGTCCATTGTACAGTGTGATCACATGGTTAGAAAAGGCAGTCTTGGAAACTGCCCCACAATTAGCCAAAGAGAGTTTCCTCAGTTTTCACTTGCTATTCCTGGATTTCTCTCCAAATTCTTGGGTAATTGGACTTTAAAATAAAGCAAGCCCCTTTTCCCCACCCTTTTATTAGCAATTAATTTTTGAAGTATTACTCCCTTGCTAGCAAAGGCTGGCGTTAGCTGGCTCAGGTGTACCTTGGTGACAGTGCCTAGAGCTCCAAGATGCTGGTTGTCATTCCAGGAGTGTGGCATCATCCCTGGCACCCAGGTCAGAGGGGGCAGCACACGTAGAGCTCCAGCTCCTGAGGTCTGTCAGGCAGGAAATTCCCTTTGGGCTGCTTGCATGAGCAGGCCCTGATAACTGCACTGGGGCTTGTGGGCTCTGCCTGGTTGTCCACTGAATATCACTGGGAGTCAGAAGTACTAGGTGATTTCTGGGCTACTACAGGATTTAGTACTGCTCCTTTGGTGTTGGGCAGGACCCAAATGTGTCTCTGTAGTATCTCCTCTTTGTAAGTGGCTTCATGTGGAATCAGGACTTGTTGTTTATTCAAGCTTACTCCATGGGATGGTGTCTGAGTGGGGAAAAGGCAGCTTTGTGATCTAGCAGAATGAGTCAGGAAAAGAGCAGGAGGAGGACCTGTCAGAGAGACAAATGGGCTTGCTGGAGTCACAGTAGGTGAATGCCAGAACTGGAAATAAGCTGTGAATCCCTGGAGACATGTGTCTAAATCTCACTTTGATTGAGTGCCTCTCTTCTGACTGCTGCTTCCCCAGCCCCATTGTCAGTTTATGCTTCAGTTTAGTATTTATTTTATTCTGCTTTCCTTATTACAACAAGGGAGAGGAAAACTATGATTCTCAGGCTGCATCTTGGAAGCATCTGTCAGGAGGTTTTCCTTCTGTGTTCCTGCTTTAAATGAAACATCTTCCCCTAGGATGTGGTTACACTGCAAGTGCCTCACCCTTTGCCTTCAGCTCAAGTGTCAGTTCCAGAATTCCTGGCTTGGACCAATCCACTGACCCTTTTTCCATGAAAAGCCAAATCTGTTCAGGATTAAACTTTCCACATCAGATCCCTTCTGTTTTTACAATGCCAAGTCTTTAACCCAACCATATGTTTCTTATTTCAAGGGTCCTTGTTTCTGAGCACTCAGTAATGTCCAGGTACTAACTGTGCCTTCCTCTGCTTCCCACTGGAGCTTCCACCTCCCCTGCTCACTTGGCCACCCTCTTGCAGCAGCTCTCCCCTTCTGTTATGTACAGCTAATCTGGCAGGCTTTTGGAGGAAAAGCAGCACCCTCTGGCCCTTGAGAGTCCTTTGACATTTTCATTCTCTCCTCTCTTCCAGCACTGAGTCCTGGACACGTTGCTGACACTGTAATCCAGCAAGCATCCTTCCCCAGTGCACCTGGCATATGCAGAGTGGAAGGATTTTTCCTCCTTGTTTTCTATCCAGTTGCTTTCCTCTGGAATGTTTTTTTTTTTTTTTGCATGTAAACCAGACATCATCCAGCAGTATTTCAGAGAACAGGAATTTTAGCCTAAGGATAAAGAGCCAGGTTGATTTGATCACGTCAGCGTTTGGGAGTATAATCATGTCAGTCCAGTTTGCTCCTTTTACCTGATAACTTCAGGCAGTTTCAGCAAAATTTGACAATACATTAGAAGTCTGAGAGACCTGATATTCCTTCCATGCAAGCAAGCAGCTTGAGACAGCAGAAGTAATCCCAGTGCAATCGTATTTAGGCAGCAGAGGATGCAGAGGGAAGCAAATGCTTGCAAAGCACAGATGGAGATGGGAAGCCTCACTGCTCTGCTCCTCACTGACCAGTTGATTTTCACTGGTTGAATTCCAAGGCACTGTTTGTTAGGACAGAGCTGGCTCCCTGGCTTTGTGGCAGAGAGATTTTTGGGATAATTCTGCTGTAGTGGAGCAAAATTGTCCCTGCCAATCCTCCTATCACTACAGGAGCTCTCTCCAGCTATAGCTCCTGCATCTCCTCATGATACTCTTAGTGGCCATGTGCAGCACTCCAGGGGTGTACCCTCTGCAGAATGAATTTTGTGATATGGAGCAAAACAGGGACACTTTCTTAGAGGTCTAAAAACAGGTTTAAGAAGGAAATTCCATTTAAACATGGAGCAATGCATCAGTGTTTGAAGTTCCAGTTTGCTTAGACCGCTGTCTCATGGCAAGACCTCAGGAATGCTGGATTTAGACTGAATTTCCACTGCCAGGGAGAGACACTGAAGCAAAAGGATACCCAGACATCCAGAAGACCTGCAGCTTTTTCAGCTGAGGGACTGGAAACAAAGCATAGCCCTTCTGAAATTCCTTACTGGGGTAATTTCTGTCATATTAAGGCCCTGAAGCAAAACCAGTGTGGGTTTTGGCAATAGCTCCTTGTTTTCCCTTAAGCAGCTGCCAGAAAAGAACTTAAGAATAGAATAACTTTTATATCCATTGTTTTTCCTCTGCTGTTTGGCTTCAGCCTTGGTTACCACAGCAGCATGGGAATGGCTGGAGCTGGTGGCAGCCTCTTTGCATTTGCTGGCCCCCCTGAAACTCAGAGGAGCAGTCTGTCTCAAACTCAGATTCACAGAGGAGGCTGTGAATGTGCAAACCTCCTGTGCATGATCAGCCAGAGCAGCATTTTCTGCCTTGCTTCAGCCCCTACACACAAGCCAGTCCTCAAAGGGGAGTTTGGGAATACTGATTTTTCCTCCTTGCAGCATGAGGGGGTGCTTCTTCTGCAGCCTGTTGTCTCTTGGGGAAGAGGCATTTCCTACTCTTAAATGAACAGGGGACTGGAGTTTTCCTTATGCAATTAAAAGGACTCCTCCAGCTGAGACTCATTTTCCAGTCTTTGCCAAAACCTGACATTATCTCCTCCCTTACTGTGAGTTTTGAATGTTTTGCTGCCCTTGTTTTCCCTGAACTTGCACATTTTCACATATCCCAAGGAAATGTGTTCTGTTGCCTCTTGCAGGAAATGCCACTCGTCTCATGAGAGGGCTGCTTGACTATTTCTGCCCTAATTTGACAGATCAAGGACACATTTTTCTTAAGCTTCTGTTTCAAATTTCAGAATCTTCTGGGCTTCTGTGCTCATAATTAAAAGTCATGATAAGAAATGGGGTAGGCTGATGATCACCACAGGAGTGGAATCAGTTAAATCTGCATTTCCAGAGCTGTAGACTCATGGGAAATCTGTGAAACAGCAGAAGGTAGTCCAGAGTCAAATTCAGGAAAAGAAAGGGTTTGCCAGGAAGCTCATTTGGCTGAACTAGATACACATTACAGCTGGAATTTCTGGAAGAAAAAGTGCAACTCTTTGAGTAAAAAACAAAAATTCCTGGTGAGCTCAAAGTACTGGAGAAGGTGTGAAGGATTCCAGATGCTTCTGCTGAGGCTCAGGAGGTGATGTATGCATGGCACCTCCCTGCCATGGAGCAGATAGAAAAGGGACAGAAAAGGACAGAAACCACATGTGAAAAGGGCTATAAAATAATTGAGAAGCAAATAAGAAATAACAGAAGAACAGCTGGAACAAGTGGTGCTCACACTGCCACATTTGCTTGGCCCACATCGGAACAGCATGATGTGTGTGGCTCTTACTGCTGTAAATAATTAGCATACATTTTCTGCTTCTGAATTATCCCTAATGGCATCTTTTATTCCCCTAAATGACCTCCAAGGAAGAGCCTTGCAGATAGTCTGAAGAAAGCAGCACCAAACTTCTCTTTTTTGAAGCAGTGTTCTCAGCAAATTAGACACAGAGGCCTTTGGAATGCTCTGCTGGTTTTATGGAGCATGAAGTTGTAACTGAGAAGCAGCGTTAAGGTTAAATTTTTGCACTTTAGGTTAAATTCAGACATTTTCCATGATAAAATAATTCCATCTCCTTAATTTGCTTCTTTTTCCTGTAGATGCCTTTCCAATTGATACATTTTATACTGACAGTTTTTAAAAATATTTGCACTAGTCATACAAAATTCCTGACCAAAATTCAGACAGGAATTTATTGTAAAATATTATCCCTTTCCTAGCCAGCTGCTGTTCATTTGAGATATAGCAGGGAAGGCAGCTTTAAATGTGTATTTCAGTTTCAGTACACAGAGTCAGTGTAGGGCTTTTTTGAGCTTCATAATAATGGAAATGCAGGTTAACTGTTACATGTGGGCCATTTGAACTTTATAATAATGGAAATGCAGGTGAACTGTTACATGTGGGCCATTTGAACTTTATAATAATGGAAATGCAGGTGAACTGTTACATGTGGGCCACTCTGATGGGTGAAAGCAAGAGAGGAGGAGTGGATGCACAGGAATGACTGAAGCCAAGCAGGCTGGTCCATCTCTGAAGTTTACATTAGCAGTGGGATCATGACATTTTTCATCTTCTGTTAGGCAGACAGTCCCAAAATCAGTCTCCATGCCCTAAAACAATCCAAATCCTCATTTCTTTGAGCAGTCTGATGAGAATATTGTATTTAAGATGTAATGGCCATAGGAATGTAATGGTCTTGCTGCCCATCCATACCCTTACAGCACAGTCATCCTAAAGAAATCCTCCAGCACCTTTCAGAAAAAAATTATCATCATGGTTGTAGCCTTTTTTATGGTGTCAGCAATCAGTAGGGAACTCAGCATGTGTAAAGGGAACAGCAATGCTCAGTCAGCGTGGATTGGCTTAGAAAATCCTGGGTGAGGATCTTCTCACCTGGGTGCAGGTGAGAGTTCCCAGTTGTCAGGACTGATCATCCTTTCTGACTCCCCCTTCAGTGGTCCCTGGGGAGGGAACCCAAATCATTACTCTGGATTTAGGAGCAATAGTGGGGTGAGAATGATTTCTTGGCTGTGGTACAAAATGATACAAGTGTATCTGTATTCCTGCAATCTTAAAATTGTAGTGCTGCTTGACATGTTAGCAATCCCCACTTCACTTGCAATTGGGGTTCTTTATAATCTGACTAGAAGGATGGGAGCACTGAGAAGCCAACCTTTCCTAGAAAAATGTCCCTTCCACACAGTAGCTCCTGGAGAAGTGGCTTGAGAGACTCCTCTGAGTGCTGCCCTGATGATGCTGCCCTGATGATGCTGTCTGACGTCATATAACAATGCCCAAAAGGACAATGATTAAGTTCCCCAAGAGAAGGATGGGAAACCAAGGATAATGATTAAGTTCCCCAAGAGAAGGATGGGGAACCAAGGAGAAGTGTGATCCTAGCTGAGGAGCAGGACTGGAGAGATGGCTTTACTCCCTGTAGCCTTCCTTTGTAACATTTGTTTTATGTCTCACAAAAATCACATTTTAAGAAGTATTTGGACCTTAAAGATGCAGGTGAGTTCCTTAGGTTAGGCTCAAAGCCTGTAATAGTGGCAGTTTAAGCTTCCCAGCTTTGTGGAACTGCATCTCAGTTCTTCCCTTGGGCAGTGACTGTAACTGGGGCTCTGCCTGAAGACAGCTTGCACCAGAGCCTGTGATGTGCCTGTACACAGCCCTGCAGGCAGCAAATTGTCTCCTTGTCTGATCTGCCTCAGTGCTAAATCATGTCCAGCCTATGTTAGTGTGCCATGATGCACTGATAGACAATTTTTCAGCACCTTAGGCTCTGGTTTTGAGATTACTGACTTGTTCCCTTCACCAAGAGGAGTAAGGTTAGGGAAGAAATAAGGTGAGAGTGAGGAAGAAATCAGGCACTTGTTGTGTCCTTGTTTATTTTCCCCCACTGTGAAGCATTAATTGGTGACTGAGTGCAAAATTTCCTTTCCCCTGTTGGTTCTTACAGGACTCATATAGGAGTTAGAAAATGTCATGATATAATAGTACAAGGGATGGCAAAGCTCAGGTGTAAGTGGAACACTGTGAAATGTTGTCAGGTCCAAAGGACTTTGCTCTAATAACACTCCTTCTTTGGCAAAATAGGGAGTAGGCAAATTTATCTGCCATGTAATGCTCTGACTTGGCATTTACAGCTTGCAAGCCACTGTTGAGCAGCTCAGCAGTTTAGGATTATGGAGGTAAAAGCAGAGAGGAATATTGTGTGAAATTGTGAGATGGTTTGATGAACTTCCTTCTTTTACAGATTCGGTTAAACAGCAGAGGACTTATATATTCTGTTGGTCTCCTGCTGGCATCAGTTTTTGTCACAGTATGTATATAGACTTTTGTTCTTCTTTTCCAAAAGAGGGATTTTATAGACATTTTCTTCACCTGCTCCTTTCACACCTCCAGCTGAAATAGTGGTTGCAAAGGCTGTTGTTATGGGGTAGGGGTGCTCCCTGCTTGAAAAGCTTCCCAAGGCCTTGATTTGGCTCTTTGCAGGAGCTATCACTCCATGGGAGTTTTCCATGGGAGGAGCCTGGGAGAGCCATCAGGAATTTCTGTGCTAGAGCTGAAGCAGGTCCCTTGATGCATGATGAGATCCATTGTCCTGTGAGACAAGCAGCCAAAATGCTGAGCAGGTTGCTTGGCTCTCTCTAGGATCCTTCTGAAATACAGCACAGGCCACAAAAAACAGTGCCTGACAGTGTTTCTGTTGAAATCAGTACTTGGTGTTCCCTGGCCTTACCCAGAAATGATAGAAGAGGAATGATGTGACATCTTCCAAGTCTTGAGGTGGGAGGGGTGTCCTGTGCAGTGCACACCAACACAATTCCCACATACACAAGATGTTAATCTTTGGTGGGTGCAAACTATGCAAAGTCAAGCAGTCTTAGACTGTGTGGCTCTAGATTGAGATGCAGAGGAGCACATGAAGCATTTTCAGTTAAAAAAAATAAAGGAACCTGGCCTTTAAATCCATTTCTGATCGAATTAAGTGGGATTGTTCTTGCCAAAGTTAAATTCCCTGCAGAAACCTAAGGTGAGGTGATACAAGTCAGGGTGGCCTTTGTGACTGCTGCTCTGATTCACTTGAGCTGTGGTTTTCAGCTCACTTGGTGCAGTCTGTGATTGCTTCCAGCTAATCATCATCAGTAAAGGGACAGCCCTCTTTTGGCTCCTGTAGCTGAGGAGGGGATTTACCACTTTGTTCAACATGTTCCTGCTGTGGTGGCTTACTCTGTGTTTATTGTAGGTTTTTGGTGTCCACATGAACAAATGGAAACTGGATAAGAAGCTAGGGTGTGTGTGCCTTTCCCTTTACGGCATCTTCCTGTGTTTCTCCATCATGACAGAGTTCAATGTTTTCACTTTTGTGAACTTGCCAATGTGCAGAGATCACTAACCCAGGTGGCAGACTGTCGGGAGGAGCTTCCTTTTTACCTGTGCAATACAAGCCACGGCTGGAATTCCTGGATGCAGTGCACCTCCAAGTCGTGACCTATATCCTGTTCACTGTTCATAGGACCCGTGGCCCCGTCTAGGTTTGCCCTCTCCCTGGCCCCCACAGCCTGGAACAACCCTTCATCCATGTGAAGAGCTTTTTTCTCAACATCCGTGTGATTTCCTTGCTCAGTTTTTGAACAGTGTGACTGAGACTCAAGATGAACTGGCTGCTAACTGGCGTTAAGCCAGTCAAAACTGGTCTGCTACAATTCCTTTTTTTAAGTTATTTGATGGAAGACTAATTAATTTATGACTTAAGACTATTGCTACAAAGCAGGAGAGGGTACGTCGTATGGAGGCTGACTTTCAAGGAGAATAATTTTTTTTTTTTTGGTTGTGGAGAGTGTTTTTTGTTTGTTTTTAGCTTTTAGTTTTGGGTTTGCAGGGTTTTTTTGTTTGTTTGGGGGTGGGGGTGTTGCTTTTGTTCTTTTTTTTTTTTTTACTTGCCAGAGATCAACGTCCTCTCTTGCATCTTCTCCTCCTGAGTGCTGGGTCTCCTGTAACAATCCAAAGGCCACAGGGCAGTGTAAAGTGAAAATGCAATTCAAGGTACTCAGCATAAGAATGGATAAAAGAAGATTGTCAAGGAAAAGACTGATGACTTTTTACTATAAATAATTAACCTTGTACAGGTTTGTTAAAGAATGCAAGCTAAATGTGGATTCAAAGGGTAAACACTGCTACCATTTTACTATGAATGTTGGAGTTTTATTACTAGGGTGTTTGTTATTTCCAAGCAATAGTTTGATCTCCAGCCCAGAAGGGCTACCAAGGAGGTGTCCTGGTTTTTAATGGTCTGTACATGGAAATGGAAGGTCAGAACTTTCTCTGCTTCATCAGATTTCTTGTTTTGGGGGGGATTCAATAGTTCATGTCTTACTTGTTCTGAGAAGGACATAAGTACATGTGAAAACTTTTCTAAATGAGTTACAGACACTGGTTTCTTTAAGAGGAAAGAGGCATATTTTGCACAGACATAGTTACTGAAGTCATAATTTGCCATTCTTTAAAGAATACACTGGACCTGGCCAGATATTTTTCGTCTTAAGCAGCTGAACTTATCTGATAACAGATCATGTGGATTCATCACCTCTCCCTTTTGGGAGGGAGGAAGACACAGACAGAGATGGCACATTTTAAAATGTGGAATATCTTCAATGCAGACTCGCTCACAGATCTTAAGTTATTGTGAAAGTTTAGCTATTCATTGTTCCAATATCCCTGCTAGATTTTGTATAATTCTGTATTAATATGCAGGCAGATTCCACCCCTGAGAAACACCATCACTGCTTCATTTGTATGTATTGATACTGTGCGTTCCTGCCACTGCGGCTCTTGTATTTACTTTGAGCACTGATCACTTCTGATCCTCCTGCATATGTTCTGCTATGAAATGTATTAAGAGACTACCAGCTAGGTGAATGTTTTTGTCTATGGTACAAACAGTGGCAAATAATAGTAAAGGTACAGCAAACCCTACAGAACAGAAAGAAAGGAAAAAACCTGAAACACCAAACCCTAAAATATAGCAAGAAAAGAAAGCGCTCCAGTTTAAAAGAAAAAGGAAGAGAGCCACGTTGTGTTCACAGATGAAAAGCCAATGTTTTTTTTTTTCATTTGCACTTTTGGAATTGATTTTTTCCGATCTGATTTTCTTTGGGCAAAATGTTGTAAATGAAAATATTTACACCCTGTGGTTTCCCTTCAGCTGAGCAGCTGGTTTTCTTTGTTTGTTACACCAAACACGGGGAGGCACTGGCAGCTCTTGCACTGTGTGTGGCAGCGAAGTCCTGTGGAAAAAACCATGTCCCACTGGGAACAGCATGTGCTGGTGGATCCCTGGCAAGAAGAAGAAGAAAAGGTCCAGGGACAGACAGCAGAGAGAGTGAATGACATGCCTGCATTGCCACTTTTCATCCTGGAAAGCAATTGTGTTGCTGCTTGTTGAGCTCTGCAGCTGAGGTTTGAGCAGCCTTCTCATACCTGTGCCCACGGGACATCCCCTTGTGTTAGCAAGCCCACTGTACCTTCCTGTTGCTGGGTTTTTGTTTCTTTTGTTGTTGTTGTTAATGAGATGAATAATAATAATAGCAACCACTAAAATGCCTAAAATACTTCTGTAAGTCAAATGATGTTTGCAACGATGTGGCACACGTGTCACTAAAGCCACCCCACAAACACGCAGCTTCACTTCATAGCGAGTTGCTCCTAAGCAGCGTGTGTCCTTGCTGATAAGGGGAAGGAATAAAAGAAGTTTCATATCAGGGCCTATTATTTCTTCTATTTTGAATATTTATACTGCTGCTCCAATGGAGCCAGTTGGATCTATTTCTGCGAAATAGCCATTACCTATCCCATGGCACAAAAACTACACGTGTATTTCTTAGGAACTTTTCCTACTGGTGTGCGTTAAATACTGTAGCAATTGTAGTTTTGTGTTGTGTGTAAAACCTGAAATACCTTGCTTTGATACTTGTGTGTGTTGCCAGAATGTTCTGCAAGCAGCTTGTTCTAAGCAGGAGCAAAAGGTATCTTGAACTGCCGTTACCTGTGCCGTAGATGGCTCGATAAGCACGTCCTAAAGCGATGCTTTCTGATAGATGTGCTGATGATTTGCAGCAAAGTCATCAGGTCCAAGCCTGCTTTGGAACAGAGCAGACCAACTGAGTGTGCCAGCAGGGAGAACACCTCTCATTCTTGTTAGCACAGTCACGGCCTGTGTAGAAGAGCAAAAAACCGGCAATTTTTGGCACCCTTCCTGTACGCTGCCTCCAGAAGTGGCATGGACAGTTCTCTTCCAATGCAGGCCATACTCAGAGCTTTACCGGGCCTTGCAGAGGACTGAGTCTCCCAGGAGTTCTCTCCTCCCAGGGGGTTCTCTCTGCCCTCCCGAGGTCAGGCTCTGGAGGACAGCCAGTGCCTGGCTGAGTGTCCCCGTGGGAGGCTCTGCTTTGCCCATGGCCGCGAGCCGTCGGCGCATGCAGGGCTCAGGAGCCAGCCAGGCTGGCACAGCCACTGGGGCTGCAAAGAGGGAGCTGAGGGGCTCTGAGGCTCAGGGTTGGGGGCTGCAGGGAGCCACCAGGGAAGCTGGGTTGTGTTGGGTATTTTGAGCGTGACTGTGATTCATTTGCGGCTTTCATCTTCTGAAAGCAAGGGTCACCTTCGCGTCTGAGGCTGCTCTGGTTCTTGGACCAGGCAACTGTTTTTGTTTCCATTCCTTGCAATTTCAGATGATCTTCAGTGAGTATTTCAAAGGGAGATTAAAGAGCCTTTTTCTCCATGGAGAGGCTTCACTGCAGTTCTTACTTTGACTTAGATATGTGACCCTTGGCTGGCTTCAGATCTGCTTGACATGGATGGCCTTCCTTTGACAGTGGTTCAAAGGCAGAATGACAGGACAGGGTATGATAAGAGATGGTCTTAAGACATGTTGGGAAAACTGCTTTTGTCCCTACCAAAGGTGAACTTTTTACTTGCCTTTTTTCTCCTCCCCCCTTTTTGTTTTTTAATTTTAATTTGCATGTGCTGCGCTTTTTAATAGACTTTTTATGTGATAGGAACACCAATATGAAATGTGTGCATGGGAGATTTTAATTTGCATAATTTGTTGGTTTTGCTGTGATGCCACTTGCATGCTTAGTTTCCAGATCTCTGTCCTCAGCTGTGCCACTGAAATCAATTGATTAACTTTGGATTTGTGATGGTTGTGCTTGTGGAGAACAAGGTGCAGGACTGGCTTTTTTCCTTGACAAAACAAATCAGGTAGAACGGCAGTCATGCTTTAGAAAAAACAACATTCAAGGCAGGAGGAGTAACCTGAAGGTAACTTTTAATACCCCTCTGTCAGAACAGGGATTTTTATGTCTTTTCCAATTGATACTTGTGAGATAAAATGTACATTCAGTATTGTTGAATAACTTTTTAGAAAACCATAGCTTTCTGCTGACTGACAAATATTTCTTATATTAAGATTTTTGGAAACCCTAATCCTTTCAATTAAAGTTCACAGAGATGCAACAGTGTGAGGTTTGTCACTTTCAAAGTTACACCGCTGGAGCTTTAAACTCATTTAAAAATATATTTTAAAAATCAATCTCAGTGGACCCTGCTTACCTGAATTTAATTCTGCCTTGTGCTTTCAAAGTTTTGCTTGATCAGCAGCCACTGCAAGTTAGTCTAAAAGAGACTTAAATCCTGGTAAAAATGTCCCTTTTAGACTGGTACAACTTTAACTCGATCAGTTTAAAGCCATGGTTTTAAGGAAAGCAGTGGAAGTTTGAATATTTGAAAGACCTCATACTCAGATTTAAGGAGCTGCAGAGTCTGAGTGTGCTGAATGGATGCACCCAGCAGAATGCAGGGCTTAGTTTCAGGAAGGGATTGTTCAGTATTCAGGGACTTGAGTGAAATCTGACCTTTGTGAAATCAGGGGCAGAACCCCTGTGACTGATGTAGGGTCAGTGCTGTGTTTGTAGCAGAGTCCTGGAAGGGATGAGGACACTGCATATTTTTGGGTGAGTGGCCTTTTTATTTTCTTACCTGAATAGATAAATGACTATTAATTAATAAGACCAAGCACCTTTAAGGGAATTTACATAAATACTCTGTTACCACTTAGTGGCCTCAAATCTGAAGCACAGTTCCAGAAAGCATCAACTTCTGCCCAAACTGCTTGCAATTGTCTGGCTGAATCTGCAGAATCAAGCTCTGGTGAGGATTTGATCCCTGCCTTTTGGAGAAGTTTCACTTTATTCTGGTAAAGCAATAGGGTAAGGAATGGAAGTCTGTTTAGTTGTGCCCTGGGGATGTAAATTGGCTATGAAATGGATTATTTGCTGGCCTGAAACAGTCTGACATCTAGGCCAAGTTATCCAAGTTTGGGTAGAAGCACCTAATTTGAGGAAGACCTCCAAAAAAAGCAGATTGTTTTAAGCAACACATTTTTATATGTATTTATGTAGCAAAAATGACTTTATTGTGGTATTTTTTAGATAGGTTTCTGTTTTTCTAATAGACTTGCAGAACAAGTTTGTAAACCCCCCACACCAGAACAACCTGACAGAAATCTTGTCAGTGTCATCTGTCTCTGCCAGGTAGGATTTGAATGGTGCTAAAAGTCAACGTGATAATTTTACAGCAGCAATTCAGCACAACATTTTTACTGCCAGCTGAGGAAAACCACACCACTGCATGCCTGCCCCTGTGAGGATGTTTGTAGCTGGTTACAGCTCCTCTCCAGTGCTGAGCATTTGTCCCTGAGGTTTTCCATTGGTGTGCCCAAAATCTCTCCCAGGGGCAGATATATCCCTGTACACCCAGCAGCCACCCACTTTGCTTCCTTATTTTACCTTGCTCCTTGTGTTGCCAGGATTCAGAATTTTGCTTTGACTTTCTCTGTATCCCTCTGGCCCACGTGCTGCTTTCTGTAACACAGAATTAATGCTCTGGGCCAGCACAAATAGTGTGGAGGTTTTGATCCAGTAAGCTGATGGGAGAAAATGCAAGGAGATCCTTGCTTGGCACACCAGCCTGTGAGCACCTGGCTCCAAACAGCACAAACTGCCTGCCTGGAAAGTGCCTGGAATGTTCCACTGGGATAATCAGGCACTGCACAGGACATGGGAACACTTCTCACGTGTTTTCAGAGACTCCCTCAAGGGAATTTTGCACCCTGTGCAAAGACATGCATTATACAATAAATATAATTGATCTAATTAAGGGATTTTAGATCTGACCTGGGCCTTTTACACTTTGTGAAACCAGATTATACTATGGGAGTTTTACTGAGGGACTTGGTCACAAGTTTATATAATTCATTGTCAGGTTTTTAGTGGTTTTTTTAAAAATATATGGACATAGATTTGTATTCAAGCAAAATACAATATTTATACATATATATACACTTTACCTAGTAAAGTATATGTGTGAACTGTTGTTAAATTGAAGCCCTGTGGTAACCAGCTATTTCTGCATAGGAATAAATTCTTACCATGGTAAGTGCTAAGATACTATAGGTGTATGAGTATTTAAGACAGTCTTACACATGCCTATTTATAAACTCAAGCAAAGTTTTTATTTGTTTTAGCAAGGTATTGTGAGTGGTGCATGGCAGATGCCATGCATCTGTGTAATACATCTGTGTACATTGAGTAATATTTCTAATTATTGTTAGTCATTTGAAATTCCAGTTCTATTGCTGGATATAAAGTCAGCTTTGAGGGAAAAAAAAGAGCATATGTGAGACATTGAGGAGGTCAGAAAGTTCTGTGCTGCAGTATTTGTGCATTTTATTTATTTATTTATCAAACACAGAGTGCTGAGCCCCTGGTTCAAGGAAACATTTCCCCATGCGGGCAGAAGATTTAGGAACCTAATTTTGGTCCCTTCCTAAAGCCAATGCCAGGTTTCCCTGGGTCAGGGGCCAAGCAGACTGAGCTATTTAAAGCATCATTCTGTCCTTTTAAGTGGCCACAAAAAAAGGGGTGAGACCTTCTCAAATGGTTCTTGTAACTTTTATTAGTAGAGAAGCTGAGAAATGCTGAGAGATCCAAAGATGCTTCTGCAGGTGATGTAGAAATATGTAAATAGTAAATACTCCTTGCACTTTTAATACTTGTAATGTCACTGTCACGAGGTACCATTTGCAATAACCAAAACCCACATTTCATAATGTCTACCCACAAGTAGACTTTTTTATTATTATATTTAGAGGTGTTTTTTTTTTTTTTTTGTTCCCCCTTTCTCATTAAGGAATTCATTTTCCTTTTATATGTTTTCCCCAATTCTTTTCAACAGTAAGTGATTGGCTCTGGTTAAATGTGAAGATCCCCCTAGACCAGGTGTCATGTGCCAGCTAATGCTTGGGGGAAGCTGGCATTTATTGTCCCAGCTTTATGGCAGGGCTGTTCCCTTTTACAGCAGTCAAGGACCTCCCACCTTGAAATCCTGCAGTAAAAATGGTCCCACCACCCACAAACTCAGCTCTCCCCTGTTTCCACCACACTGCTTTGGTTTCAGGGGGTCAGCAGATCTCCAGTGTAGAGGAATCTGTCACATCATCACTATCAGGGGAGATACACTAGGGCTTCCTGGGGGAACACACAACAGCAACAATGGAATCCTTTTACAGATGTAAAAGGACTTTACAATGTATTCAAGGGGACTTTATTTTGCCATCTTTTAAAGACATGGGGCAATTTTAGATCAGGAAAGAAATAAATGGAAGATGAAGCCTGATTGTACAAAGTACAGCCCTCAATCTTTCATGAAGGTTTCTAATAATGTGCAAGTTTTGCATAGAGTGAGCTCCCATATTCTGTCAAGCATAGAGCTCAGCTGAGTTTTTCATCCTTGGTTCTCAGAAACAATCTGTTCCTCTCATGTTTCTCACTGCAGTCAGGAGCATAACATGCATTCCTGTATCACAGAACTGCCTTGTGAAATTGCTTATAGGTGAAGTGAGCAAGCACAGAGATTGAACCACAACAGGTTTTTGAAAGAAGCCAAAGCATGTTTGTGTAGTAATTTCATTCTGATTTTGTTTAATGGATGCCAGGAGCAAAGGACACAGTGGGAATCTGTAATCATGCAGCGCCAGTGGAGAACAAGTGCACACGAAAATAGTATGGCACCACAAAAATTTGTCTGTAATTCAGTTTCACAGGGATCACATTTACATGAAGATTTTCCTGGATGCTACTTGATCTGTGCAACCCTTGGTCTTTGGTCAGGACAGGTGAGAAGTACTCTGTCCCTTTCTGAGGGAGAAGGGAGAGAGATGCCTAACCCAATATCTCCATCTCTTCCCCTGGCTGCATGGATGTGCCAGTCACAGTCTGTGCACCTGAGAGTTCTCTGGTGTGCAGTAAAGATTTAGGGGTGAATTTTAGTAAGCATTCCCTTGAGGAGCAGTGTGATTGACATCACTGTCCCCCCTGGTAAAGCTGGGAATCCCTACTATGCAGGCAGTATTGTGTGAGGTTACTGACGGAACGTTGCCTTCATCCTTGCATCCAATCTTTGCTTTCAGGACTGAAACACTACTCAGAAAATGTTTGTAACAGTTTGGGGGATTTGTTTGGGTTTTTTTTAAATTCTTTTGCTGTCTGTCCAAGTCCTGTGCAATATGAAGCCTCCTGGCAAGGTCTAGCAGTGGTTTGGGTGTTCCTCTTGCTGGTGCATTCATCAGAGCCCCAGCCAGTGGGACATGTGGGAGGGTGGGAGTGCCACTTCTCCTGGGTGTGTGACAAGTGGAAGGGGCACTTCTGCCGAGCACTTGGCACAGGCCTGGCACTGGGAGTTGAGACTCAGGTAAATCAGGATTCCAGAGAACAAAAAGATGAGCAGACAGACCTGTTAACCCTCTAGTATGCTGTGCAGCTTTTAGCCCCTTCCAGTGTTTTTTCCAAGCCAAACCCAAGCTGATGTGTGTACATGGGTGCCAAGCCAAAGGCAGCCAAGCTCAGCAGCCACAGTGAGCCTGGCATCACCAAGGCATGTGGGGACAGCCCCAGGGCCAGCTCTCCATTCTGGGCAGGGGGGAGGATGATGTTTAAATCATTTCAGGGCCCAGCAGTCAGCTGTTAAAGATCTGATAATTTCACAGAGCTGTAATTGAAAATTTGGGTTTATTCTGAAGTTTGTTGTTGAAGTCTTAGGCTGCTGAATGTGATCCCTGCTGTGGCTTGTTCTAAACCAGAGGGCTGAGAGTGTGGCAGTCTCTGAATCGTGGGTGTGGAGAGGTCTCTGCTTTGTGATACAGTCACAGCATCCAAGCTGCAGGGAGCACAGCAATAAAAGTGACTGATAGGAGCACTTTCTGTTTGACTGGGGATCAAATGACGCTGTCTGGGTCCCTTATCTCTGGGCAGTTCTGTGATGCTTCTAATCATAAGGAAGAAAATGCAGGAAAATGGAACTCAGTGCAAATGTACATATATAATGTATGTTCATTTACAACCAGCAGAAAGCAAAACAAGCAGTGGTTTCTAGTAATATAATTCTACTCAAAAATAGCTTTCTATTAAGTCAGCTTGAATATGTTAAAATGGTGGAGCCACAGACAAAACATTTGTTACCTTTTGAAATTAGTTGCAATGGTTTTGTCATACTTGTACAAGTGTTATAAGGTCAGCCTTTCTGTATGTTTTACAACTTAATCTAGAGTAGTCTTCTATGCATAGCTGTTCCACTTGCCTGTGTAAGTTACAAATCTAACAGAAATGAAAGCATGCATTTTTCTCTGTTTGCTGGTAACCTATGAAATTAGAAACTTGTATTTCTGTGTTTTTAATGTGTTATACTATAAACAAAATTCACAGCACTATTGTCTATGGAATATCAAAAAGTTTTATCAGAATGAATTACTTTAAATGTTTTGTCAATTGATTTAATAATGTGTCAGACATCTACACTAAGACAATATAACGTTTATCAATAAAAATATCCTCTCTTTGTACTAACTTAACATTTCAGGGTGTGCTTGGACATAGGACTAGAGCACCCCTTTGGGTTCCAATCCCAATGATTTGTTAATTTTTGGCTTAATTTTAATTAATGAGAGTACTTCATACCCCTTGTTTGACCTGAGCACTGGATTAGGGAGCGAAGGAAGAAGAAAAGAGAGTTTTTATTCTTTGGATTACCTGTGGCACTGAATGTGTGTTTGCTGTAAAGGTGTGTGCCCCACAGCAGTTCCTTTAGAAGTCATCCAGTACATGCTTCAGCTAAATTCAGTTTCATCATTTCCTGAGGAATCCAGAGTAACCTGAAGGAAAGGTTTGAGCTCCTGGCATGTAGCTGGGTCTGGCTGCCTCACCTTAACCACCTTTACTTGTGTCTATGTAACATCTGCTGACAAAAGGATCTGGGCTTTCTGAAGTGCACTCCATGTCTCCAAGAAGCAGTGCTGTGTCTCAGGCAGGTTATTTGCACATCCACAGCTCATTCCAGGTGCAGAAGAACCCTGCAGTGCAGGAAAGGCACATGTGCTGATCCTACACTCCACGAGTGCAGGGGTGAGGTGCAGCTTTTGATGTTAATGCAGAAAATGGCTTTGATCGGTGCCAGCCCAGTGGTTGTCTTGAAAACATTTTCCATTGGTGTGATTGTTTGCTTTCCATCTCTGTGTGCTTGCAACCCAAAGCATATGCTGGAATCCATACAGATGCTCCATCTCTCTAGGTATTTCCCCATGACTGGTTTTCTGGTTCAAGGATAATCTTGTTTCTTGTCACAATTTGGTGCAGCTCCAGTTGCCTGTTGGTCTCTGAAGATGCTCTCACTCCCTGCCCCGTGCCATGGTGATATGACAAATGTGCATCTTTTTTGATTCTGCCTTGCATGCTTCACTTCAGAAAATTTTTATGTAGCTTACAGCCTGGAAAGTTAGAAATTGGTTTTCAGAGATCAGGCAAGTATTTGAATTTCTAACCACTTTCATTGAAATTAGGAAAATCAGAGTGTGAAGGCAAACCATCATTGCTTTCAATGGAGTAGATATGCATGAACATGTATTCATATTTATGTATTCACTTTGCTGCTTTAGAAGCTGTTCCTGTGTTGCCTTTACAGTTATTCTTCAACCATCACAAACCCTGACTAAGCAAAGATGTGAATTCTTAGTGCAGAACAACAAAAAACAAAAAAAAAAAGCATCAGAGCAAAAGTACAAACCGGTTAAAAGAAAACTAACACTCCTCTCCCACATGACTACCTTAAATGCAAAACTGGAGTACAAATCTGGGGTTTTTTCCCCTTTTGAGAAAAAAAGGGGAAAGAGCTTTACAGAAGCCTGACTTGTGTCTTTGCAACCCCAGAAGTTATTTGCTTTGAAATAATACTGGCAGAAGTAAGAGATCTGTTCTCTGTAAATTGCAGATAAAAATCTCCCTCCAGGCTCTGCCCACTTGATTTTGACCTGTTTATTCCAGCAGAAGGAGTGTGTGCATGCTGGGCAGGTCATGGGGCTGCTTGGCATCCCAAAGCAATGGGGTTTTACACTGCAGGAAGGCTGGGCCATTTCCATACAGCCCTGTGCACACCTCCCAGCTCCAGGTGAGACTTCCTACCTACCTGAGGCTTCTCCCCACCTTTGCACAGGCATGCCAGGACATGGACATCCTAGACATGCCAACCACACCCTGGAAAAGAAGGGCTTTAGCTGTTAGAGCTTTTAGTGCCAAAATCAGATTGTTCTGCTGCCTGAAGCTGGGCAGCCTGCGGGTTGCTGCTGGGCTGCACAGCTCCTGGAAGTGCCGCTGGAAGTGCAGCTCCCAGTCCCTGGTGCTGGAGATGGATGCACAGGGGTGCTCCCAGCACACTGTGCTGGCTGGGAAGCTGAAGCACAGGAAACACGTGGCCATGCCTTGGGAGAGCAGTGTGGAGACACTGGGACTTGGGGTGAGCTGCAGGTTATGTTGGGTTTGTGTGGTTTCCCTCCCTGCTCAGCCCTCTGGGCACAGCTGAGCTCCTGCCCACTTCCCGCCCAGCTGCCTCCAGCAGGCTGCAGCATTCAGAGAGGAGGAGGAGGAGGAGGCTGATCTTCAGCCTCAGACTGTGGGGAACAAACAGCACTCTCTTCACAGTGCCAAGCAAGTCGCTAGAGAAGAGTAGCACAGAATGAACAAAAACAATTGAATGCCACAGCCTGGAGAGAGCAGGTGCAGTGAAACTACTTCAAACTGTGCACACTGGAAGATTTTACAAGTGAGCATTTTAAAA